CAGCTATAGAAGCATTTCCTCCTCATTTCCAATTTTCTACCACCGCTGCAAGCATTTTTATCAGCAATATCAATGCTTAGCTGGACAGCTAAAGAAAAAACAAAAATTCATCCACCTATCGTAGAAATCGCATTAGCATGAAATGTGAGAGCGGCATCAGCCAGTCCGTGCAACTTTTCATTTTTCCCCATTTGGTGAATTCCCACTCCAAGACGGTATATCAAGTTTCCCACCAAGTAGCTTAGAAGAAGCACATCAGCCCACTTACGGCCCCTGCCAAGTAGGAAGTTTATTATTTGTAATAATTTCACAATAGTCAGTCCTACCACTAGCTGCAGAAATTCTGCTGAAGTGGTTCAGCCTGGAGGTGACTACTGGATTCTGGGGAATGATTATACCCATTACAAAAATATACTATCGTGATAACTATTGAGTAAAAAAAAAAAAAGCCTATTGTTTCCGTTTGGAGATGACAGAGAAGGATTATTTATTCACTATATTTACTGCTCACACCTGTTCAGAAAGATTTATATCATCACATGTGAAACTGGAAACGGGAAAGGAAAAAAAGAATCCTTTTCAGGCACCAAACAATGACAATTTAATTATTTAATACTTGATTTATAAGTAGTTTTAACAGTGTTCAGGAGAAATATAACAGATTTGTATTTTTCTCATTTGAAATGCGACACATGACTAAATCTGATATGGAGGAGCACAAATGTGGAGCTCTAATGGTGAAGCTGAAATAGCAGAGGCGGGAGTCAAGCCTACAGAATTTGAGAACAATAAGAACAAGCGGGGCGGAGGGGGGGGGCTTTCAAGCTCTGGGGCAGGACCCCCATCCACTTTGCCGTGGAAAAGACACCACTGGGTCAGCGCCCCCTGCAGAAGGGCCGGGGAATGGCGCAGTCGATAAAAAAAAGGAACAGCAGAAGATGTACTCTTTCACGGACGAGTCAGCGGCAGCCATCCCGGAAAGCTGACGCACGGCATGCTCACAGCTGCATGGATAAACAGCTGCATGGATAAACAGCAGGTAGAAGTACGAGGCATTTATAATGTAATCAAAGAACAGGGCAACCAACAGCAAAGATTTCTGGTACGGAAGACTGACCAGGAATGCTTTTTCCCCACAAAATGTGGTGTAACGTCTATTATAAGCAATAATTTTGTAACAACAGCTTCTAATTGTGTTGATTTAGTTGTGAGTCGGGTACTTTATAGCTAAAATGAACAGAAATATTTACCTGGCTTGAAAGAAAGCAGAATAATTTTAAAAACAAAAACGGCTTTCCATGTACTTCAGTTCCCATGAATGGGCTGGGAATTTACATTAAGAGATTGTTTTGATAAGCAGCAGGTTTATCTGCGATGACAGCAGAAAGCTGTGCGATGCCCAGACACTCTCACACACACACACACACACACACAGGTTTGTAATTATATATTTGTGGGGACTCTCCATTAATTTCTGTGAGGAAAACTCTAATCCCAGCATGACGAACTTAACCCCTACCCAGCCCTAACCTTAACCATAAGTAACCAAACTTTTGGCAACTTTAGTTTTTTGATTGCATTCACAGGTCTTTGAGGGGACCGGAAAAATGGTCCCCACAACGTCAAAATAAAAGGTTTTTATCACATTGTGGAGGACATTTGGTCCCCACAATGCAATATAAACCTAACCCACACACACACACACACACACACACACACACACACACACACACACATACATACATACTCATAGGCAGTCTTTGATGTAACCTGAATCACACCAAGACTAACACAGAATATAGAACCAAAAAGATGAATTTGGGGTAGTTCTCTTCTCCCATATACTCCATAGAGCAAAAATCTATAGGTACTTGATTATTTTCCTTATTCTAAAACCATAAATTTGTTGCATGCCATCTATTTATTAAGTGCATGAGTGAGCATACTGAGGCACGCAGACGATCAGACAAAGTGGAGAGTATAATATTATCTCAACCAAGATATAATTAATCTTGTCATTTTGCTGGGGCAGTGGCAGAATGGAGTCAGTGAACTGGAAGAAAAGTAGTAAGAAGACAAGAAGAGCTTGGGTTGTTTTTATGAAATCATTTTCAGATAAAGTATATTCAAGCTTGACATTTATAATCTGTTTACCTGTCTGCTGCCCTCAGCTGCCTATTTGATCATGTTTAACTACACTCACAAGACTCCTGTTAACACATGAAACAAGTCTACCTTGATCTGCTGAAACTCAGGCCAACAGGAGCAACAAACAGGTGTGTGTGTTCTGTGTAGAAGTTCCCTAAGAGAAGGACTTTCAAGAAGCTCAGCTGGGTGGTACTTCTTCACTGGAAAAGATCATATAATAATTATTTTTACTTAACTATCCTTAAACAGTTTCTAGCCATTCTCAAGGAAAAATACCCAACAATGCTCTTTTTACTGTAGTTAATACCAGAGAAGATTGATTTGAGATTTGCTCAGGGTGAGTGGCTGGGGCAGGCCGAGAAATGATAGCTATCTGTCCTTTGAAGATGAACTCCTAGAGGGTGCAGGGTACACTTAGACAGACTTCTGCTGAGATATTCTCATTGAAGCTGTTGAGAGCAAGGAAAACATAGGAGAACATCAGGAAAGGGGCGAGCGTGACATCACATGGGGAGCGGGGTAAACGGGATAGGAATTCCGCGTTGCCACCATTGTCTAGCAAGTGGCTGCCCCCCTTCTCCGCCAAGCCTCAGCGCCTTGGTTCAGGAACCTGCCTGTAATTTTCCTTATTGTTCAGTAGGGCTGGGATTAAGAGAAGACCATAGGCTGTGGCAAATCACTCTGCCAGATACAGTCCATAATGATGTCATAATGATGTAATGATGTAATACCTTACGCCGCATTACATATAACCAGGGTTGTTACTGGTTTTCCTTTGTAGAGGGAGCCCTCACTTTACTGGGCTTAGATGGAACAGCATGCTCTAGTAACAGCTCAATAAAATGGCTCTTACGTCACTGTTAAATATAGGACCAGAAGCAATTATTACTACTTAGGCATATATATATATATATATATATATATATATATAAAGTGGCATATATTTAGTGGGAGTTTCAATTGAGAAAACTGACCTCCTGGCAACATGGAAGGAGGTGAACAAAAAGCAAACGGCATGTAAAATGAGAGGAGGAGAGGTGGGAGGTTCTCAGCTGCCCCCCTTTATTTCGGTCACATACACATGCAGGTTAACCCCTTAGATCCAGGTCTGCAGAGCGCTTGCATTTTCTGTCTGGGTTTTTCCATCGGATCTAGAATTGACATTGTGGAACTGCAAGCATTTAATCCATTTCCTTTGACACTCAATTGATTTATAATTCTTGGGCCCGTGTGTCTCATCTCATTACCGTGTGCGTGCACACACAGACCCCAATGTGGGACGTACACCGAGCAGGTGTGTGGGCGTTCCTCCAGAGAAAGGGCATAGGGGTGCAAATACCTGACCTGTACTTTTCATGACACAGAGGGAGAAACACAAACAAGGAAGACTGAAGCATGCTGCCAAGGTCACCGGGGAGAGAATGGCAGGGCCCCCTGATTTCAGCATATAGCAGTCCCCCCGCTCGACAGTTCACATACAACGCAACACACACACCTGATATACAAATATGTATACTACTCGTATGTGCATTTCATTCGCCCATTCTAACTCATAAGCATTTCACAAAGTTTGGAATACCGTTCTCATGGAGAACACGAAGAAAATAGCTCACAGAAAGCTTTGACTTTGATAATTACACTAATTATCACTGTACATAGTGATTATTGGTGTTTAAAACAAGGATAACATGGCAAAGTGATCATTTCTGACTACAAAAAGGACAGAGAAGTGAAAGGAATCAGACCACAGAAGCATTTACAGTTTATAGCTGCAAAAAATGGGGAAAAATAAAAATTGTGTTTTGGCAGGAGGCACTGCTGTCCTGCACTTCTGTGATAGTGTGGTTCAGCACGGTTCCACGTGGTTCAGCATGGTTCCGCACGGTTCCGCACTGTTCCACATGGTTCCGCCCGGTTCAGCATGGTTCCACACGGTTCCACACGATTCTGCATGGTTCCACACGGTGACACATGCATTATGAATACATAATGCATGTGTTTGCTTGGGCTTGCTCTGTGTAATCAGGTTTCCTCCGAAAACCCCATGCACTGGTGACTCTATGCTATCAGTGGCCTATAAAAGTATGTGAGCTCCATAGAATTTCCCATAGATGCTCTTCCTTATTCCCTCTTCTCGGCTGAAAGGACTCTGAATGAGACCAACCTTAACTGAACGAGCAGTAACGGATAACATTAAATTCCTCTGCTAGCCTGATGTCACTGTTCCCCGAATGGTCCTAATGTTGCACTTTCTGGTCATAAACCTAACCCTAAACCTAACCCTAACCCTCTTATTAGGTTCCTGCTTTGTTTGGAAGACGTTTAGCTCTTGCTCCAAGTCTTTTTATAATTGTTACACTGGGCATTCACTGGAAGCTCAGCCTAACTGCACTTATGCCAAGTCGACTCTACGACATTAGGTATGTTTGTAATGTGCCATTTGCCATAATCTGCCATTTGCCTTACTTGTGAATTTTGACAATAGCATCTGCTGAATAAATGTAAAGATATTAAATGAAATGTACGCCTACTTACCTATTATACTTAACACCTCACATAAGTTTCTTTTTTATAAGGCAGATTTTTCATTCCAATCCTATACAAAAGACAAGCGGTACTCATTTCTAAACAAGCTTCAGGTTCCTCTTTGCTCTCGCATGAGCATGCGCTCTTCCCAGTGGGCTCGCCGTGTTCCACATAGCCCCAGTTTGGCTCTCAGTCTCCACCACTAGCATGGGTTTTCAGACATCCCCTGGGGTCCCGTAGAACACGTGTCGAAACCATGAGGAACCTGTCGAAATGAGGATGAGGAATGGCGGCACGTTTTGGGGAAGGCGAGGAGGACAGCATACCCCTCACTGCGAAATATGGTTCTGAAGCAGTCTCCTAGGCTCTTGTAGCTGTGGGGGTCACTGGCTCCTCTTTGAATCTGAAATCTGTGAGAAAATAAATAACAGTAAGAGATTGGCAGGGAGCAGGTTCTACTGAGCATGTGCAAACCTTATGTCTGTGCTCTTACTTAAGCAGAAATCAGACTGTAGAAAGCAGAATGTGGTGCAGATCACGAGACCTTATTTACCAATATTATACACAACAACTCTATAAACAAACATCTCAGCTCATAGGCACTGCGAAATATGGTAAAGCTAGCAATGATTAAGCGTACAGTTTTATTTCTATATGATCTGCTTCAGCAGCCCAGCTATTCTTGGTCTTTGTGCATACCATAACCAAGCTGATGACCTTGTAATTGACATTCACTGCCATTTACCCATTACATTTTTTGCTTTAATGGTCATTACATCCACTACATTATATCCAGGATCTTGTGCCTACACTATGCACATATTTCCTTCAAAAATTGCAGCATCCTTTCATCGCAAAATTAACCCAAAGACGTTTTCCTCTATAACGGCCGTGCAGCCTGGCATAAACAGCAGAAAGCGTAATATTCAGGTTCTGTTGTTTTTACAGAGGGAGATGCTTCTATTCCTGGAAATAAAGAATACCTTCCCTTCTCTTTTGTGTTGCCGTATTTATGGGGGGGAAAAAATGTTCCCATTTTATTAAAACATTTGCTCTGTCCCCCTCCCTTGCCTGTCTTTAATGTCTCTTTAATGAAGACACCCAATAGGACTCTCCTCTGAGTGTTCGGTCCATATGATGTCAATTATGGCTCTGTACTCCGCAGAGGAACCACAAAGAACGCGCTGCAAAGCTCCTCCTACTTTTTTTTTGTTTTTACGGGAGGCTCCGCCTTGCATCCCCCTCCAAGGAGGAGAGCTCAAACATTTACTTAACCCACTGTAGGCAATTAGCTGCCCCTTTTAACAGCTGGGTTTTGCAGAAGCCAGTTTTGGCGGCGGACATACTAGTAACTGCCCTACAGTTCAGCGTCTCAGGTAGTGGTGTGGGTGCTGGGATGAGCCTCGCTGCCCAGCTATGCCCAAAGAGCACCAAGACTGGCGCTGAGGAAGGACGAGTGCATTCCTACAGATATCTATAGGTATATCTCTAAAGCAGGATATGATGTTAGTGGTCAGGTCGGCAAACATTGTAGGATCTCAAACAGGAATAATAAAAAAAAAAGCTGTATGAAAAGTAAACAAAAAAAAAAAAAACTGAAATTCAATGTTGAGAAACAGCATTAACTTTGGAGAAGCCTTTCAGAGTGGATGATGTATTACTGCAGCAGACAAAATACCGACAATTATTTCAATCAGAACTAATGAGCCAGAGTGACTTTGGATTGGAAAGTGAGAGGATTCATCACACGAGGCTTTAACCGATGGGCCAAGGGGTCAGTGTAGCGGTCCAGTCAAATACCTGCTAGGAGCCACATCCAGTGAAGGTGAACCACCTCTCACATCACTGGGATTTCACATCTCAGAGGGCTGTTCTCTGAAATGCAGCTTTGCAGATTCCCAAATAGCTTGTAACCACTGCCACAAAACATTTAAAATGGTGTCATAAATGGACGGCCGATGTATATAAAAAAAGAAGAAGGGGGTGGGGGGGGGACCAGATGGGGGGGAGATGAAGTTCCAGAAGATTTAAGACCGTTGGGGCTTGTAAACAAATTTAAATCTACCTTAATTGAAGGCACATGACTCTAGGGTCAAGGACTGAAGGGGTCTGCTTGTCTCCTCCCCTCCCAGCTTACGCTCTCACCTGACCTGTCCTTACACTCCAACTAGCCCTGAGAGAGCAGGCAGGCTAGGCCGCAGTGCCCTTTGCAGCCTCTGACTCCGTGCCTGACCTCGGGGTCAGCTCATTTCCTTCTGTCCCTTTCCTACCCTGCTGTAAACCTGGAGCCCGACCCCAGAACTCAGGGGGAGATAATGGGAAGGACCCAAGGAGCCAGAGACCATGCGGAGGTACTGGCCCATTAGTGGATCGCTATCTGTTCACGGCGATAGCACAGTCCACACCAGAATCAAGTAGGCGGGTGAGAAATCACTATCGTGATCCCACATTAATCCAATTGAAAGTCAAATGTAACCGATTTGCACAATAAAAGCTCAAGAAAATGGATCTGTGGGTATCTAGAAGGGCTTCTCTCTCCAGGGCCTTCATCAAGGGGAGATAAACCACTAGCTGTCCAAAACCCAATGAAACCCTCGGCCTAAGCTTTACAGCATCGCCACTGGGACAGGATTACCAGATGTGGGGTGAGGTGGAGGGCATGCCAGGACTCCTGTTAGCGAGATGGGCGTTTGGGGCACATAACCTTGGAACGCTCCCAATAAAAGGCCTGATTCAAACCGTCCCCAGAGCCCCAAAATGAGCACACAGCCGCAGCCGCTTCTTGGCCTATTACAGAGCCCGGTGAGTGTCTTAAAGTGCTCGGAGCGCCAGGTCTCTGCACCCTCGCAGCCCCCGAAAGTGATGGGGGTGTGACTCGGGCCAGTGAGAGGGGGCCATTGCCTTACAGGACACACACCAGTGAGGGAAGCCAAATAATGACGATGTTTTAAAAAATGGACAGGAGCAGGGTTTCTGGGTTGATCAAAAGGCTCACTTTGATGGTCCTCTTTTAAAGGGCTGCCCATTTTAACAGGTTCTCATAATTTTCCTTGTTATATAATGTCTATTGCCCAGCTACTGGATCATTGCAGCACTTCTCCAGCACAAAATACATTCCTCCCAGTAGCTAATTTGTTTAATCTACACATCTCATTCATTCATTCGTTTTTATTAAGCTACAGACGCAACACATCGATTCAGCTGCGAATCGTGTCTGAAACGTATCAAACGTACCAAACAAACACAGGTGTCTTCTTTCCCCTCACTAAATGAAACCACTCAGCAGCAGCTTAGCACATAATACCAACTAATATAAGTCAGTATACAAGTTCAAAGATGCTGGACATATCAGCCCCACCACAACTTCCCCAAGAATGAGACCGATTTTATAGCAGCCTGCACTGTAGAGCTGCCAGCAGCCTCTCACACAGTGGATAAGAAAACCCAGAGAGCAGCATTAAAACAAAATAATTTTTTTACTGCCTAACAGTTACTTTTAATGAGCAGGATCATAAAGACGGCAGAAATCTGTTGCATTGGTACAGAGACAGAACTTGTAGGTAGGAGCCCTCTAACCTAACTGATCCAATATGGCAGATAGAGCAACTAATCACACTCAGAACAGGGCTACTAATCATTCTCAGAGCACTGAAGGCAATAAGGAAACGCTCCCCTGGGGCATCGGGCTCTATGGAGAGTGCCATAAAGTACCTCCGAATGAACTTTACTGTCTGGTAGCAGTCTCATGGAAGAATAAAGCATACCTAAAGTACATTTATTCACCATTATGTAAGCCCTGCATAAAGCTGGAACCATCTCAATTTCACAAAAAAGAAACCTCATTCATCGTACCTCTCAAAGAGTCTTAGCAAACATACAGTCTTATAGCCACCTGCTTTTTTGACAGTAGCAAACATCCATAATCCCAGTAGTCATGTGGGTGGTTGAAATGAGCACTTAGCACTGGGAAGACTGGGGAGGGAAGAAACAATGATGTTTGCAGGTAGATCTCAGCTAAATGTGATCATCAGCAGTAAGTAATGATGACAGCGATACGTAACCTGAACTGCATCTTGTTTTGTTTAATCAACCTTGTCCTTTCAATCACATTTTTAGTATTCTGGAAAAGACTGTTTTCACAAAATGTGGCGTGCCAGTGAGAGTGGTCCAAGAAAACGATGATTTGCTTTTGATTCATGACCTTACCTAAAATACCAAGTTTAAAACTTCACAGATTCATAAATTTCAAATAGCACTTTTCGTGCATCCAGTTATATTCAATCATCATTGTGATAACCTGGTAGGAAGCTTAACAAGTTTGGACTTGCATTTTACTTTACCCCCCATTTGGAAATTCCTTTTATTTTTGCACATCGACGACTGATCTCCCCCTTTCAGACAGACGGCCCCTGTGCTCTGACGGAAGGGGTCAGGGGAGAAAGCCAATAAAGTGTCACGTTTAAAGCGAGGAGATAGAGGAGGAGGGGAGCGGATGAGCAAGGCGGAGTCCGGAGACAGGAAGGTGATAAAGTTTGAGCAGTTATGGCACTGCAGGCCCCAGGACCTGGGACTGGGCAAGACCGGCTTGGGTTTCATGGGCACCGCAGGCCGCCACTGGTCTTAGGTCCACACCGGCACTGCACCGGTATGCGAGCGGGGGAGTAAACATGGTCATTATTTCAGACCCCCCCCCCCACCGACCAGCTTGACAGATACAAACGACTTTCCTTTGAAACCCCCGGTAAGTCCATGTCCAAAAAGCAGAAGCTGGGGGGTTAACACAAGCTAACATGAAGCTGAGAATCATTAAGAACGCTTTATTCAAAACAACCAGCTTTAATGCATGGGATTATATTGGGAATTCACTATGTAACACTGAATGTATTACAACAGTGTTTCCTCGGGACCCACAGACAGTCCATGTTTTTACTCCTGCCAGGAGCTGGGAGGGAGCAAAAATATGAACTGTCTGGCTGGAAACTCGGACGGAGCAAAAACGTGGACCGGCTATGGGTCTCCGAGGACCGGATTGGGAAACACTGCATTAGAATTACGTTACAAATATCACAAATTTTAGGATCACAAAAAAAAGAGACCAGAAGAACTGAAGAGTCACTCTGACTTAAAATAGACTCATTTCTATAAATGAAAGTGCAAAATTTGTAAGTTATGAATTGAAAGGTCTCATGTTTCGAATGAATGCAGTAAAGGCAAGAACAAAGACATCAATATTAGATTCCCATTAAGAAAATCATCCTTAGAGACTGCAAGAGAACTGTGAGAGGACTAATACAGTGAGGAGGAGAATGTTCTCTTTACGTTGATGGTGCAGCGGGGCGGAGCAGAGGACAGCGTGGGGAGACTTTGATCTGAGGAAACGCTACGAGGTCAGGAAGACGTCTCCATGGAC